AAAGTTTTTTGTTTTTAAATCCAAGCTATTGTGACACCAGAAAATGGGCACTGTGAGCCTGACACAGAAGCTGGCAGCAGTGGCAGACAACTAAGTGCATTTACATTACATAGAAAAAAAAAATAAAAAAAAGCATACCCTTATCCCTAACCTAGCTATGCTTTTCCCTATCTTATGAACAGCAGCTACACTTTCCCTCCTCTTACTAAGCATGCAGCTTGAGAATGAATCTAAAATGGATGCTGTCCAGTAGGTGGGAGGGTCTGCTAGGGAGGCTGTGCTGCTAATTGGCTGGAATGTGTCTGCTGACTGTGAGGTACAGGGTCAAAGTTTACTCAATGATGACGAATAGGGGGCGGGTCGAACCGCGCATATGTTCGCCCGCCGTGGCGAACGCGAACATGCTATGTTCGCCAGGAACCGTTCGCCAGCGAACCGTTCGGTACATCACTACTCAACTCTAGTCAGTAGTGTTATTCCTTGCATTCACCATAGAAATTTATGTTTTGTACATATATATTTCTGTTACACATTTGCACTTTATATTTTTTACACATATAGAGATTGTGATGACATTTTTTGCTTATAGTATAAATATTCTGTAATATATATATATATATATATATATATACATACATACATACATACATACATACATACATATATATATATATATATAAAAACCATATATGCAATAACTAGCCACTCACCGCTTTGCTCATTTTATTGACAGAGACCAAGCTAGTGCCAACTCTCTCTTCTACATTACTAAAATAAACTATACTAAACTGCTCATCTGCAAGCATTTCACTTCCTCACGTTAACACTATGCTCTATATACATAATTCTAAAATGACATACACACACTGACACAGACTCACAGGCACACCCATTCTCTCTCACATACACACTGACAGCTACACTCATTCACTCACAGTAAGGTGGACAGCTCCAGAACACGAGGCAAACAAGGAATTTGTCTGGGAGCTTGGGGTGTCATTTTTTGGACATTTTTAATAACTTGTAAATGGTATGTCATGATGGGGGTAATTCTTATTCCTTGGTGGCCATATGACCTCAAATGTAACACAGGCATAGGAAACCAATTTGGCAAACTGAAATAGGCAAGCCAAGTATTTGACCCTTTAACTTTCCAACACCCCATAAAACATATGGGGTACTGCTGTACTTGTAAGACATCGCTAAACAAATATATCTTCTCAATATACTCTTGCGCCCTGTTTCTTTGCTAAACAAATATATAAAATAATACCATATAAGCATATATAGTAAAACATATTATGATGATGATGATGATGATGATGATTTACAGTGAAAGTGCAGTATTTCTGAAAAAAAAAAACCACACAAATGAACACTTATTGGCCAAGGTTTGTGACGAAATGGCTACTAAAAAAGTCTCCATGTGGTAACATTTTGGATATTCTGGGTTATCTACTTTTGCAAAAGGTATGCCATGATGGGGGTAATTCTCATTCCTGGGCTGCCATATGGTCTTAAAGGCAACATAGGCCCAGCAAACCAATCTGGCAAATTTCAATATGTAAAAACTGAAACGGGCAAGCTATTTAATGCTGTGACTTTTCAAAACACCATGAAACCTGTATGTGAGAGGCATCACAGCATAGAAATATGTGTCATCACAGCATAGAAATATGTGTATTTTATTGCAGTAAAAGCAGTGAAAGTATTATGACATTGACAATAACATTTCTTAATTTCTTTTTTATTTTATTCATATTAAATTGTGTTCCACATATAAATATTTTCTGTGAAATGAAAGCCTATTTATACTAAACAAAATTATATATGATGAGTGTGGGTACACTTAATATGAAAGAGGTAAATTATGGTTGAATATACATGTTGCTGAAATTCTAATTTGTTTTTTTTTTTGCAGGACAATTGTCTCTGTCCTTAAGGGAGGTAATTGGAAAAACTGGTACTAAATCGAAGAAGATAGGGGAAAAAACTGAAACGTTTAGATTGATTTGTAAATCTGTCAGCATTCACTGTGTAGTAGTTTAATTTTAACAAATGAAATTTCAAACAGATTAATATTTTATAAAATGCCTCTCTAAACGTGTTTTTTAGATGTTCTCTCAAAGGCTACAACACTCGTTACAAGCAGATTGCACAACACAAGATCACAAAAAATATACCATATATTTTATAATATTTTTGTCTTCTAAAATTTGTCTAGCAAAAATATATCATGTTAAAATAAAAAAGAATAATAAATAACCAGCATATATTTGAATAATGCAGATGAGAAACAAAAATCCTGTGAAAAACTAGAATGATTGTTAAAACAAATGTATTAAGGAAAAATACTAAACATTGTGTATATAATAAATTAAAACATATGGCATCCTTAATAAATAAGTTCTACAATTTACATCTTCAAAAATGACTTGAAGGCTTTAAGTTACTTTTTTCTAATAAAAAGAAATAAAATAAAATATATCATGACAACAATATAGGAGCAGCACAGATATTGGATATGGTGTAGGTAAGGGAGGGAAGGTAGATTATGTTTGCTTTGGATTTACAGTAGGATAGCTAACATGATTTAAGACATGTCAGCATGTTCACTTGTTCTAGAGCAAAACACAACAACAGTTATATTACAACACATAAATAACAAATAATATTTGTGATTACATGAATACATTTGTTTTGAGGAGATCACAGTCTTATGTGGACTTGCATGCAAAATAAAGGGAAACATTGCATAGTGTTTTGCGCAAAAGAAACACATTAAATTAGTTGTTTGTTGTTTTTTTTGCAACAAGCAGGTACTTAGAGGTCACATACTGCAGTAAAATACTGGTCCCCAGTTAATATTTAAAGGGATTTAGATTCAGACTTGTTTTGAGGATAAAAATTACCGTATTTTTTGCTCCATAAGACGCACTTTTTTCCCCTCAAAAGTGAGGGGAAATGTCTGTGCGTTTTATGGAGTGAATGTGAAGCTTGACTTACCTGTCTTGTAGCGTGGGCCGGCAGCACAGCGCGCACCGCGGTACAGGAACTTCAAGTTCAGGTTCCGGTTTCCGGCGGGACTGAAAGGAAGTGTGCACACTGAGTGTGCACTTCCTTTCAGTCCCGCCGGAAACCGGAACCTGAACTTGAAGTTCCTGTACCGCGGAGCGCGCTGTGAAGCCGGCCCACGCTACAAGACAGGTAAGTAATTATGTGACAAGGGGAGGGGGACACTATGGGACAAGGGGAGGGTGGGACACTGTGGGACAAGGGGAGGGGACACTATGGGACAAGGAGAGGGTGGGACACTGGACAAGGAGAGGGTGGGACACTATGGGACAAGGGGAGGGGTGGACACTATGGGAGGGAAAGTGCACTATGGGACAAGGGGGGGACACTATGGGACAAGGGGAGGAGGGGTTAACAATCACTATGGAACAGAGGAAAGGGGGGTTAAAATAACTATGGGACAGGGGAGGGGGGTTAAAGATCATTATGGGACAGGAGAGTGGGTGGTAAGGAACAAAAAATTCCTTAAAAAAAAAAAAATATTCTGAACAAACTGTCCCATAGTAAGAAACACTATGGAACAGTTCAGAATATTTTTTTTTTCTGGGTCTCCTCCTCTAAAAACTAGGTGCGTCTTATGGTGAGGTGCGTCTTATGGAGCGAAAAATACGGTACATCCAGGCTATCTTTCAATTTACAGGCCAGGTACTGCTCAAATAAATCATATAACTTGTTTTGTTAGGGTCCACACGCTTCTAAAGATAATGCATAACATACAGCTGAGCAGTGTTCTTAGTCACTCAAATTTTTTATGCATTTCTGCATATTCATTATTATTGCAATTTTTATTGATTATTATGACTGTAAGGAATTTGGACTCTGTATATAGTAACTAGAACTCAATGAAAAACCTGCTGAAATGTAAGCATATATCCTTGCTCTTTATAAGGTTTTAAGGACATACAGAATACACAATATATTTAATTATTAGCCTCTAAAGATGTTAATAATAAATCCTTTACATAACTTGCTTTGTACTAACACCATATGAGAGGTGCTGACAACATGGAATATACTCTCTAGTTTTTGTCACTAATTCATATTATTACCTAACATATAATTTCTGCATGTGTTTGTTTTGAAACAAGCAGTTTTTAAGTATGTCAGTTATTTCATTTGTAGCATTTTTTTTTTTTTTAAACCATAAAACACAGGAAATGTTATAAAACATATTTATAGTTATACAAATCAGTGAAGCTGAAACCAGAAGGGAGGTAGTTGAAAACTGACCTGAAAACACCCTCAGGAAATGCCCTAACCTTGCAGGAGAGTGGAGATAATACTTAAGTCGTTAGTCTCTCACTCACACAATTTTCCTCTTGGCTATATATTTTAACACTAAGTGTAGCATAGTAACACATTGAAGAGACGCTCAAAGCTGCATAACAACATCAGGTGTTCAGTTCCTTTAAGGAAACTGACATTCATTTAATGCACAACTGAAATGTGACTATTTGTGGGCTTTACACTCTGTGAGATTTTTAGATATAGTTGTGATATTAGTAATGGCAAAATTAAAAACAAAAAACAAGTTCTTAGAATAAGCATACACACTGAAATTCCACTTATCTTTGTGTGCGGATGAGGCTTTTTTGGTCAATTTATAGTAGATCTTTACTAATGAATCCTGCAACAAAATGGGCAGATAATATAACAAGTGATGAAGCAAAATGTGATTATTTGCTATTAAGCACAATATTCTAGAGTGTCTTGAAAACACAATATGACAGAGCTGCTGTGAATGGAAAATTTGTGTGTTCTTTATTGTAGTAAAGTATATGTGAAAATGTACTTAAATCAGTGTGGTATGGTTATTATATTATCTAGCCACAACATCAATAAGGCTTAGCTTGGAAATTAAATGTTTTGTGGTATAATCCACTTTTAATACGGATAAAACATATTTAATATTACAACCCTATTATTCAGTTTGTTGGAGGAGATTCCGTGTGATATTGGACATTTTATTTAACACCAGGTTTATCACAACTTTAGCAGACATGTTCATAAGGGACATGCAAATCTTAAGTGTATGACTGTAAAATAGTTCATATAAATTTATGGTAAGGGTGATACCTGAGGGTGCAATTGCAGGCTACATATAAACGTAAAGGCAGAGTCACTGTTAGGATTGATTTCACTCAGTTTTGACACAGGATACAGTTATGTGGAACATAGCAGCAGGAATAGCAGCATTGGTTATATTCAAACATTTTGGGGGTTTTGGTGACTTTTATATTTATACAAAAGGAAGGCCCTTAGATATTTGTAGGATCTCTTGGCTCCTAATCGTCTTAATTACTCCCTTTGATCAGCAATTTTATTACAGCTTTGGGTACCAAGAGTCAATTTAACAATACGTCATACTATATATTTTTGCATACTGCTTTGTCTTGATGAGACACATTTTCACAAAGTAGAAATATATATATAAAAAAAATGAATAGCCATCTCCTTATTCAGGCTTTTGAACCAACAACCACTATTGAAATTCTATCATTAATGTAAACTTCTACTCCTGCTAATTACTGTGAAAAAAGAATGAATAAGGTAATTTTTTTTCTAAACTGTCATTGATTCAATATATTTCTGTCTTGTAGTTAGAGAAAAGCTCACAAATGTTTACAATCAGACATTGTAAGCAGGAGGCTAATCCATGTCAGCATCACCTATGGGTTAAGCTCCTTCCTCTCAGCTGATAGGACAGGAATCTTAAAATAATGTTATATAAGAGAGTCACCTCCCCATAACCAGCAGTCTTTTTTCCTGTCCTCCAGCTGTTAGAAATTAGTTTTTCATTATGGCACATATGGGGAGTTCAGCCTCTCTCCCCAGGGAAGAACCCAGATACAGCCCAAGCACTGTGGGACTCCTTGGGTTCAAATTGCTATGTTAGTGCATAGTAATTGAAGATATTGGACCTCTCTGGACATCCAAAGTGTACTATAGGATGGGTAAAGATTCAGTTTCAATAAACCTTTCTAACTTGTTAGAAGTTTTACAAAAGGGAATAGAAAAATGATTGAGTCTCAGCTCCCTGAAGGTTCAATTATCTGCCTTCTCGGTCATATCTAATGTCCAATGGGCTCTAGATCCTACAGTCAAGCAATTTCTAAAGGGGACCATGAAAATCAGACCACCAATTAAAAATTTCAATCCAGCATGGGATCTACCAACAGTGCTACACAGTTTAACTAGTGCACCATTTGAATCCCTATGGGATTTGACTTTGAAAAAATTATTTCTAATTGCTATCACGCCTGCTTGAAGGGCTTCTGAACTCCAACCCCTTTTGTCTGAACATCCATTCACTCAAATCTTGGAAGATAAGGCAGTTCTAAGATTGGTTCTGGAATTTACTCCTAAAGTCCTCTCAAAATTCCATCTGAATCAAGAAATTATTTTGCCTTTCTTCTATAAGAATCCTTCATCTGAAGAAGAATCCATTTGGCACACCTTGGATGTGATCAGATCGCTACATGTATATCTGCTGCCTGGTCTTCCTCCAACACATTTGTGAGGCATTACCGTTTAGACGTTACAGGCTCCTCTGTCTCCTCTTTTGGGAGGAAAGTCCTTGATGCTGCCATTACTGTTTACATTAAAATTAGATTTTCATTGAATTCGTGCATTTTTTTATTTATTACCCTCCCTCCCGTTTGTACATTCTGGAAATCCCATAGGTGATTCTGACATGGATTAGCCAGGATAATAGAAAAGTGTATCCATACTTACCGTAATTTTCTTTTCCTGGTTATTATCCATGCCAGCATAAACGATCCCTTCCACTGTCTGGACTGACTTAATTATGAGGCTGCTGGATATGTGGAGGTCAGCTGAGAGGGAGGAGCTTAACCCATAGGTGATGCTGACATGCAGGGACGTTTTAGCCGTGAGGCAAACAAGGCATTTGCCTTGGGCGGCATTTTCCAGGGGGCTGCAAAAAAAGCTGCCCCCAAATGCCCAGGGCAAATGCTTTGTTAGCCTTGTGGCTAACAGTCCAGGCGGGCGGGCGGCGCTGGCGAGGGTGCACTTTTTATTTGACGTCATATTCCGGCTCCCGGCATCACTCTGCGGGCGGCGCGCGAGGGAGCTGAGCAGACAGCTCAGGGGAAAGTGCACCCTCGCCAGCACCGCCCGCACGGCAGCCCCAGGGAAAGGGAGAAACCCCCCCAGGATTCCCAAATGTAAGGAGGCTGGTGGGGTTAAATAATTAAAAAAAAGTGAGTGTGTTAATGTGAGTGAGTGTCTGTTAGTGTGTGTGTCTGTATGTGTGAGTGAGTGTGTGTGTCTGTTAGTGTGTGTGTGTCAGTTAGTGTGTGTGTCTGTTACTGAGTGAATGTGTGTCTGTGTTTGTCTGTTAGTGAATGTGTGTTTGTCTGTTAGCTAGTGTATGCGTATCTGTCAGTGAATGTGTGTGTGTGTGTGTGTGTGTGTGTGTATTTAGAAGGCAGGGCAGGCGGGGAAGGGTTGGGTGGGGGGAAGGGGGACCCCTGAGTTTTGTCCTGCCTAGGGCAGCTCAAACCCAGGATACACCACTGCTGACATGGATAATAGCCAGGAAAAGAAACTTACGGTAAGTATGGCAACAATTTTCTGTTTTACCATAAGTCCTCATTACAATCAGTTGAAAGCATCTGTAAGGAAATGACTGATATATACAGTCAACATGGTTTTACTATATGTGTGTATGGCTTGCATTTCACCTTCATCTAGCAATAACACAGCTTTAAAGGAACACTCCCAGGTCACAACAAATTAAGCTTATTTAAGTTTTTATGGGACAGGAATACTTCTCTCCGCTGGTCTATGTGAGGAAGGGGTAGCTGGGCAGCTGCTGATAGGCTAAGCAAATCAGCTGAAACTCTCAACCTATCAACTGGCACCAAATGAAATTTGTACATGCTATTTTTCTCAATGGGCACCCATTGATATGCTGAGAACATCAACTGACACTCTGCCTATCAGCAGCCAACTGGCTATCCCTTCCCTGTACTAGCCAGAAGAGTGGAACAGAAGCCAGGAGACAGAAGTTTGCCACAGAACAACTTAAATAAATGTAAGATGTTATGGTGGTGGAAGTACTCATTTTTTCATATTTGCATAATTGATTGCTTTCTTCAAATGACGGGAATAATATTGTTCTAAATCCCATCTTTCGCAGATTTGGATTGGTAGACTCATTAATGTCACTGATGCTGCAGTGCCATCATGCTCAGCAGCAAATATTAAATTAATTCCAGAGGGCATATATTGCCCATTCCAGCCTGCCTTGTAGTTTTGTCCAAAGCTTCACATTCCTATCCAATGTTGAGTGGGTGTGGACCCTTTTGAACGTTCTCTTTGGCACTGGGATCCAGACAAGCACACTCCCCTTGCAGTTCACAGTTTGCTGGGAAAGGTGTCACCTAGAGACAAACAATAATACTATTTTTAATGTTTCAGTCTTGTATAACTAAAATAAAAATCAGAAATACACTGACATGATATTAGCTTTATTTTATTTATTTGTTTTAGCTTTTTTTTTTTTAGCAAATTATCCCCTTAACGCCGTTACGGCGTTCTATGCCGTCCCGCATTAAAAGGGCTTTAAAGCCGTTGCGGCTGCATAGAACGCCGTAACGGCTTTCTGCCCCTGGAGGTCCACGGTACTCACCTCCGCCGTGATCCTCTTCTGGAGGGCTGCCTGACAGCCCAGACAGCCCTCCCCCGCCAAATATGACCCCCTATAGCTGGCTGTGGATCTGCCAGCAGGGGGACTGTGTGAAATGTCAGACAGTCCCCCTGCTGGTGGAAAGTAAAAAAAAAAAAAAATATTAAACATGTTTAAATTACAATAGATTATATATATATATATATATATATATATATATATATATATATATATATATATATATATATATATATATGTATATATATATATATATATAATAACACATAATATATATATATATGTAACGTCATACAAAGTGTATTTTAATATTAATAGAAGTACATATATTAGTATTAAAATACACTTAGAATGATGTTTATATATATATATATATATATATATATAGTATAATTATAATAATAAATAAAATATTGAAACAATTTAATATACATTATATATTCATATGTAATTTCATTCTAACTGTATTTTGTTATTAATATATATATATAAAAAACAAAATACACTTAGAATGACATTCTATATATATATATATATATATATATATATATATATATATATATATATATATATATATATACATATACATATAATTACATAAAAGATTACATTAGTATACACATAAAATTTAAATACCTATAAATGCATATATATTAAACTTCTACGTGTATATTTAAGTAATCTTTTAACATAATTATGTCATTTGATTAATTAAAATTTTATTGACATGCCTGACAACACAGGGAGAAAGTGCAGAGAATTTAATCCGCAAGCACTATATTTGACTCTGTAACTCTCCAAGACACCATAAAACCTGTACATAGGGGGTACTGTTTTACTCGGGAGACTTTGCTGAACTCAAATATTAGTGTTTCAAACTGGTAAATTGTATTACAATGATGATATTTTAAGTAAAAGTGAAATTTTTTGCATTTTTTACAAACAAACGGCACTTTTATGGACTATATTATTGTTGTAATATGTTTTACGGCTTAAAACACTAATATTTGTGTTACGTGAAGTCTCCCGAGAATAACAGTACCCCCCATGTACAGGTTTTATGGTGTTTTGGAAAGTTAGAGAGTCACATATAAGGCTTGCATTTCATTTTTTTGACATTGAAATTTGCCAGATTGGTTATGTTGCCTTTGAGAGCGTATGGTAGCCCAGGAATGAGAATTACCCCAATGATGGCATACCATTTGCAAAAGTAGACAACCCAAGGTATTGCAAGTGGGGTATGTCCAGTCTTTCTTAGTAGCCACTTAGTCACAAACACTGGCCAAATATTAGTTTTTTGCTTTTTTCACACAAAAACAAATATGAACGCTAACTTTGGCCAGTGTTTGTGACTAAGTGGCTACTAAAAAAGACTAAACATACCCCACTTTCAATACCTTGGGTTGTCTACTTTTTTAAATGGTATGCCATTATGGGGGTAATTCTCATTCCTGGGCTACCACACCGTCTCAAAGGTAGCATTACTAATCTGGCAAATTTCAATTTGAAAATGGAACGTTCTATATTTGACCCTGTAACTTTCCAAAACACCATAAAACCTGTTAAAGGACCACTCTAGGCACCCAGACCACTTCAGCTTAATGAAATGGTCTGGGTGCCTGGTCCTTCTAGGGTTAACCCATTTTTTCATAAACATAGCAGTTTCAGAGAAACTGCTATGTTTATGAATGGGTTAAGCCTTCCCCTATTTCCTCTAGTGGCTGTCTCATTGACAGCCACTAGAGGCGCTTGCGTGCTTCTCACTGTGATTTTCACAGTGAGAGCACGCCAGCGTCCATAGGAAAGCATTATGAATGCTTTCCTATGTGACCGGCTGAATGCGCGCGCAGCTCTTGCCGCGTGCGCATTCAGCCGACAAGGAAGAGGAGGATCGGAGGAGGAGAGCTCCCCGCCCAGCACTGGAAAAGGGTAAGTTTTAACCCCCTTCCAGAGCCGGACGGGAGGGGGTCCCTGAGGGTGGGGGCACCCTCAGGGCACTATAGTGCCAGGAAAACGAGTATGTTTTCCTGGCACTATAGTGGTCCTTTAATGGGGGGTACTGTTGTACTCGTGAGACATCGCTGATTACAAATTTTTTTGCAATAAAATCTAACAGTATTATGACATTCACAACTAAAATGTCAGACGGAAATACAAATTTAAAAAAAATCTTGTTTTCTCACATTTTTTTAAATTTTATTCATAATAAATTATGTTCCATATATGAATAGTTAATGATAAATTAAAGTCCTGTTTCTCCTGAACAAAATAATATATAATAAGTGTGGGTGCACTTAATGTGACAGCAGTGAATTACGGTTGAACAGACATATAGCGCAAATTCCAGTTTTTGTTTATATTTTGTTTGGATCAGAACGTGCACTATTGACGCCGTACTGAAGGGGTCAATAGTACACAATGTTTAACCCGTTCAGGACGGAGTCAATAGTACACGTTCTGATCCAAACAAAATGTAAACAAAAACTGGAATTTGCGCTCTATGTCTGTTCAACCGCAATTCACCTCTTTCATATTAACTGCACCCACACTTATTAGATATCATTTTGTTCAGGAGAAACAGGGCTTTAATTTCACATGAATTATTCATATATGAAACATAATGTATTATGAATAAAAATAAAAAAAACTGTGAGAAATTAAATTTGTTTTTTTAAATTTGTAGTTCCGCCTCACATTTTATCTGTAAATGTCATAATACTGTTGGTTTTTGCTGCACAAAGAGCACATATTTGGATTCAGCAAAGTCTCACAAGTACAACAGTAGCCCCCATTAACATTTTTTACGGTGTTTTGGAAAGTTACAGGGTCAAATATAGCATATTCCATTTTTCAGGTTTTTCACATTGAAATTTGCTAGATTAGTAATGTTACGTTTGAGACCGTGTGGTAGCCCAGGAATGAGATATACCCCCATGATGGCATACCATTTGCAAACATAGACTACCCAAGGTATTGCAAGTGGGGTATGTCCAGTCTTTTTTTAGTAGCCACTTAGTCACAAAGTCTGGCCAAATTTAGCGTTCATATTTGTTTTTGTGTGAAAAAACTAATATTTGGCCAGTGACAGTAAAACATATTACAACAATAATATCGACAGTAAAAGTGCAGTTTATGTGTGAAAAATGCAAAAAACTTCACTTTTACTAAAAATATCATTGTTATAATACAAGTTACCATTTTGAAACACTAATGTTTGTGTTCAGCGAAGTCTACTAAATAAAACAGTACCCCCCAGGGAACATACTGTGGAGTTACTGGGTGGCCACCATTTCATGCATCAGAGGCACATGGTGAGAACAATGGATGATGGCCATTTTAACTCACAGACACTGTTTTGACTTTTCTACACGGTGTCATCTCGCCGGTATTTGGTGCACAAAGACATCGTTCAGTAGTTTTAAACTACAGAACAGGGGACACATTTAACAGTAATTATTTTTCATATAGCCTGTATATGTTCTGCGGAATCTGCATTAAACCATATCTTCCAAACTACTAAACGGATCTAGGTGAATTTTGGATATGTGGTTCACCCAGATCCCCTGGTTCCGAGGATATTTTTATGGGGTTATTGCATGTTTTGGGGTCCCTGTAATATGTTTTATGATACTGTATTTTCCTGCCTGTGATAATTAAGTTAGTCTATTGTGTTGAGATAATTGTATCACAGGCAGAAGGGAGGATTTCTGATGTAATGAATGGGAGTGTTAGCTGTATTGTAATGTGTTGATTGGTTGTTCTTCAAAACCCTGTGGGCAGTACTATGTTTGTAGAATGTGAATAAAAGAGGCTGTATGTGCCAGTACAGACAGTTCTACTTCACCCTCAATCTAGAGTCCTGTCTCTTATTAGGGGAATTGCTATATCACTACAAGGGATTGCTATGCTCTGCATACTCCCTTAGCTAATCACTACTAAGCTCTTGTAAGAACTTGTTCTTGCTCCAATCTCTTGGAGGAGAGGTTCACCCACTGGAACCTGGAGCCTTGTCGTAGGTCCAGGGTGGGTAGGAAACGGCGAGACCCCAACCAAGCTGTGGCGGTTCGTGGGGACTACGGTGGTTGTGGTGTCTGGCGGAGCGCTTGGAGCCCTCAGGAAGCGCTAGGAGCATCCTTCAACGGAGGTACCCAGTCTGGGTGCCAGGTGATCCGTTACAATTACTTAAATATACACATAGAATTTTAATATATATATATATATATATATATATATATATATATATATATATATATATATATATATATACACACACACATACATATATGTATTTAAATTCTACGTATGTAGTTATTTATGTAAATATATATATATATATATATATATATATATATATATATATATATATATATATATATTTGCGGTTATTTGTATTTTATATATAGATAGATAGATATAGAATGTCATTCTAAGTGTATTTTGTTACATATATATATATATATATATATATATATATTAATAACAAAATACAGTTAGAATGAAATTACATATGTATATATAATTTGTTTTAATTTTTTTAAATATTTTATTTATATTTTATTATTGTAATTATGTGTATATACATATATAGATGTAATATATATATATATATATATATATATATATATATACACACACACACTAACGTCATTCTAAATGTATTTTAATACTAATATATGTACTTGTATTAACATAAAAATACACTACGTATGACTTTACATATATAAGATGTGTATATATATATATATATATATATATATATATATATATATATATATATATATATATATATATATATATATATATATATATATATATATATACACATTTATTTTATTTCAAAACCTGTTTAATCATTTTTTTTTTACTCTTCCTAGCAGAAGGGGGACTGTCTGACATTTCAGACAGCCCCCTGCTGGCAGGTTCACAGCCAGCTATAGGGGGCCATGTGATCGCTCTTTGAGAGCAGTCACATGGCCCCCCGGGGCCTGATTTGCCGGGGGAGGGCTGCCTGGGCTGTCAGGCAGTCCTCCCGAAGAGGATCGCGGCGGAGGTAAGAAAATCTCACCCCCTGTGGCTGCAAGCCGTTACGGCGTTTTATGCCGCCGCACCGGCTTTAAAGCCCATTATAATGGGGACGGCATAGAACACCGTAACGGTGTTAAGGGGTTAAAGGGACACTCCACTGCTTAAATGCAAAATAAATAAAATCAATGTTTGGTAGATATACCCCAAATGAAAACATTAATGCATTTAATTATGTATTTTTTCATTGGGGATATATGTAAAATCAGCTTGCAAAACTTGCAGCTCTCTTGTCTGCTGCCTTTGTAAGTTTTCCCCTTCCAACCCCACCCAGACTTTCTGTTGCAGTCCTATCACAGACTTCCCAATACAGGTCAATGAGAAGTCTTTGTAAGTCAGATGCTCTGGGCTACAGCTGCCTCTTGACATAATCTGCATTGTGTTAACGAAACCAGGACCTGTTGTCTGTTTAAAAAGCCAACGGGGTGTAACCAGTACAATTTATAAAAGTGTCAAATTCTTGAAATCTGCACTGTTAAAGAGGACGAACCCTTCACACATAAAGCTTTTCAGCAAGCTAAAGCTGTTTAGGGGTCTGCAGTGACCCTTTAAGCCTTTATGAATTATTTAAAGGAACACTATAGGGTCAGGAACACAAACATGTATTACTGACCCTATAGTGTTAAAACCACCATCTAGCCCCCCTGATCCCCCTTGCCTCCCTAAATATAGTAAAATATATTTTTAAAATATTTCTTACTTGAATTCAAGTCTGCAATTGCTGGCTTTGTCCCTGTCTGCCTCTGACCTGCCTGCTGACATAATCAGAATGGTGGTCCGAGCCAATCATAGGATTTGCTTAGCCTGTCAAGGAGGCAGATCAGGGGCAGAGCCAGTACAAGTCAAACACAGCCATGACCAATTAGCATCTCCCCATAGAGATGAATTGAATCAATACATACAGAAAATTTCAGTGTCTGTATGCAGAGGGTGGAAACACTGAATGGCAGTGCAGCTCACTGTGCAGCACTGCCCAAGGAAGCATCCCTAGCAGCCATCTAAGGAGTAGCCAGTGGAGCTATCACTAGGCTGTAATTTAAACGCTGCATTTTCTATGAATAGACAGCATTTACAGCAAAAAGCCTGAAGGGGATGATTCTACTCACCAGAACAAATGCAATAAGCTGTAATTGTTCTGGTGACTATAGTGTCCATTTAACCACAGACATAAGGAATCATTTAGTCTTCAAACTGACTTTCTAAGATAAATATGACCTCCCCCATTTCCATGTGTATTCAATTTGTATATACCATTTTTATTTGCTTTGTCAGCAAAACCTGTTGATGCTGCCGCATCTGTCCAAATGACCGGAGAGTGGACAGACAATGGAGGCAAAAACATGCTTCTGCCATTCCACTGCAACAAGAATTTGCGCCACATAGCAAATCAGCTGTAGCCTGTGCATCCAAGCTCATATACGGGTAACGTCATTTGGTATGAGAGGGATGGGGCAAAGGAGTCTAGAAATAAAGGGCCCTGCCTTGCGGGATGATTCGTATAGCAAAATTCAACGATCCCAACAAAGATTGCAATTCCTTCCTATTACATGTCCTATTAACCAAAAATTAGTTAATGGATCGTAGTATGCTGTCAATTTTACCTGGGGGTAGGCTCGCTTCCATGTTCACTGAATAAAGCACGATACATAGGAAATTAACTAACGTGTTAGGGACCTCTGTTTTCTTGGAGGACACTGGCACCCCCAAAGAATGAAAAAAATTATATGGCCTTTGTCAGATCACTGGGGGAAGAGGAATTATTCTCCACGAACAGAAAGTCGTCCAGATAATGTATAACGGCCTGACATCTGCAAATGTTTAACAGCAGCCAACAAAAGGTTTCGGAAAAGGTGTCAAATATTTTTGGGCTGCTTTTTGACCCGAACATGAGTCTTGTGAAAAAATAATAGACACCTTTCCATTTTAAACCATGCAGATGCCATAGTGACGCGTGAATGGGTAGTAATTTAAACGCATTGACGATGTCAGTTTTACTGAACCAAGCCGCTATGCCAGGTGTGTATAGCGCTGTCTATAGTGGCGTACTCAAGTGAAAATTCCTTGGATGGAATTAGGGAATTAAGGCTTGGTATGGCCAAGGCGTTAGGTCTAAAATAAGTCTGTGTTTCCCTGAGGATTTCCCAGTGACAAGTCCTGGTTCGCTAATTGGAAAATGGGGGCTTGAGAAAAGGTCCCAATAAGAACCCATCCTCCAATTCTTTGTGTAACAGAGCATCAATCATTTCCACATTTGCAAATGCCGACTGTAAATTGTTGCATTCATAAATGCCAGCAGGGATATGAACCAAACCTGTATGGAATCCCTCCGTGAAACCATCTATCAAAAAATCCACTAGGTGTTTGGATGGGTGAGAGGCTAATGTGTGAGCCAAAGAACCAATCTTTACGGATGTCAAGTATGGTTTAGTATGACTTTTATTGGGACACATGGACTTGGCGTGTGCCCTAAAACAATGTGAACACACATGTAACAACCTGCAGGCATTATAACCACGGGTACCTACTTTGAAGTTATTACAGACCTGAGACTTTCCCAGGTAAACGATAGGGCGACCGAGCTTGTCCTTGCCTGGTTTGTGGTTCACGTAAAGTCCCAGGTGTGGACTCTGGTATAGTGGGACAATAGTCCGAGGAATGTGATGTTGAAGCACAAACCGCACAAGCTGGTGTCTTGAGACCAGCAAAATAGCTCAGTATCCATACGGGTTCAATCAGTTTTGACATTATACTGAGCCAATATTGCAGCCGCTCTTGCCGAAAAGGATTGGTGATAGTCATAAAAGGATAAAAGGATGACCCACCATATTTGCTTCCCAAGTCCACCAGCTTGTGCACGTAGAGGTCGAGTTTCTCTCGTCTATGCGGAAAAACAGAACAAATTACATCACAATACATACCAAAAGCCAAGACAAAATCAGTTATGGATAGTTTCTTATACAATCTAGGGTCCCTGGCTTTCAACACCACCGAAATATCACCATAAGCATAAGTGCGGTTATCAATGACATCGTGAGAAGCAATAAGTAATGCCACAAGATTGACATCCTTCCCCTCCAAGATGTCTTTCTTAATCTTATCTGGGACCATGTGCACAGGATTGATAATGTGAGTTTCGGAACCAGAAGGCACATAATTACCCAATTATGGAGCATTGGGGAGTAAGGCAGTCGAGGGTCTGGAAGACCTGACATGAGGGCTCCGAACCTCGATCCTGTCCAGTCTATCGTTGAAATTGCTCATGGATGCTACTAGCGAAGCGACCATGGCATGTAGGTCTGAGTTGCCGTACCACTTGTGCCCTCTCCCGCCCCCGAGTTATCAGTATGAGTCCGCATCAATTTGTAGAGCTCAGCTTTCCTGGCCATGGCAGGAAAAGGAATGCTGCGTCTCCGGAGTTTTGCAATAATGTGAGGGATGGTCCATGACCTTATTGAAGTTGGACTCCCAACGTCGCCTTTACGGGAAGGATTTGGCCGGAGAACTGGGTAGAGACAAATTGTCTGTGTCATTCGGTAGATGTGACATACTAAAAGGAAATAATCAAAACCATCAGCCATTGTACCATCTTTGGTTACTGGCTGGCTAGCTAATGCCGGACGGCAAAACAATTTCCTAAGTGTGGTGACAGGTGAGGCCCTGCTAGTTGCCAAGTGGCTTGAGATGCTCTATCGATTGGCGTGAGGGAATTGTTGCCACCGAAACGTTGTGGTGGGGTGTTGGCCTCTCGATGACGACTAAAATGCATAATATAGAAAGGGAGTGACAAGTGAGGCGCTCTCTATGATTTGGCCCGAGGTGCGAACGTCCTCAAGCGTGGAGGAAATGGGTTGGCCTCGCGGGACCACTACTACTAAGGCGAAGAAGCCCAGATAATTTACTAGTGGCCGTCTATCCTAGATAAGCCAGTAACACTAAATCATAAGCTTTAAGGAGGGGGGATGTTTAGGCAAAAGGTACCTGAGACCCACTTGTTGTTAGGTCAGAAAATTGGTCACAACCCAACAGAGCACCTGAGACTTCCACCACTAATCTAGTATAAGCAAGGTTTAACCTAGTGACCATAGAGAAGAGTATATGTTACAGAGTAAAAACGTACTTCCCTTCAATGCTAAGAGTACCCCTTACTTACTGGACAATGTTAAATAAAGATTTGATAGCAATGAACGTAGTTGATATGAGTCAACTTGAACCTGAAAAGTAAGCATAGAGAAATAAGTAAAGTGATCTCTGCCATACTAGCTTTTGAACAGTACTGTTAAAATGGCGCCATAGAACAGACCAAATTTGAAGCCAGCAAGAGACTTAGTAAACACGTAAACCTTTAACCTAAAGCTGATCCATATCTAATGCAGATGTGTAGTTGGTACTTGACTATATAGATTAACTGAACGTAATGAATGTGAACATAGTGTAATCTTAAACCCAGCGGCACGTACTGCCATAACATGCAAGTGGCCGCACGTCTTTATCAGCATGTATCATCGTAGCACGTACCATAAAATATGCTTTATAGCAACGTGCCCACATGATCATGTATTACTGCGGTATGTCATATAGAAGCCCGTCATGCTGCAGTATGCCACTCCGTATTATCGTGGCATGAAACACAGCAGCCTGTCGAAGGACACTTATGCCATATAGTACTCATATAACATTGTAGTATGTAAACCTGTCATATAGTATCAAGAACACCGAAGTATGTAACACCCTAGTAAGTAATACCATATGAAACCGTAGTGGGAAAGCCACGTAGTGTAGCCCATTAGTATGTAGTATAGTAGAGTACTATAGTTTGCTGCACGTCGTATGCAAAATTCTACAGTAGTACCGAGCAAGTAGTATGTAATAACAGTTATACGGTAGTATGTAGCTCAGTAGTATGCAATAAGAGTATACTCAGTATACTGCCCAGTTGTATGTGCTTAAGTATTCAGTAGTATGCAGCAAGTATGTAAAAAAGTATGAATTGGTATGCCGCTCAGTAGTATGTGATAAGTATACAGACAGTAATATGTCATAAACTGATACGTTATCAAGTAGCCCAGTAGTATGTGGTAATTATACAGTAGTATGCAGCTAGTAATATGTAATAAAGTATACATTAGTATGCAGCTAGTAGTATGTGATAAGTATACATTGGTATGCAGCCAGTGGTATGTGATAAGTATACATTAATATGCAGCCAGTGGTATGTGATAAGTATATATTAGTATGCAGCCAGTGGTATGTGATAGGTATACATTAGATATGCAGACAGTATGTCATAAAAGTAAACATTATAATGCAGCCCTGTATTAAAGTAATACAGTGTGTATATGCAGTATAATCAATTATTGCAACAGCATGTAAAGACTTTGTTTAGTACAGTACTAGGTGAGCTGAGCTTCTCTCATGTGAGAGAAGAAAGCAAAACTGTCAGCTGTGTGGTCTCTAGCTGCTGCGTCCGTGAGTCTAACTGCCGCCCCCCCTCCCACCCCCACCCCCATGGACCTTTAGCATGTGGCAGAGGGTGAGAGGACCAGACTACTGCTTAAGACTCACTTTTTTTGTGCCCCACGAGCATATGAGAAAAGCATCCGCTTGTTTGCCGATACAAGCGCACTGCCGCGAACCGGAAGTGACAGGATCGTAACCCAGAAGTCCGAAACCGGAAGTGATAGCTGCCGAATTCAGAACTCCACGGTGATGCAGGTAAAGGGGGGTGAGTTTAAATAGGATCACCACGCCCCTCCCACAACTCCAGGCAAGCCTTTACATATATCATCACAATGACCGCACCCCAAGTCCTTCTTTCAAGTGTAAAATGTAACCTATTTCACAGTGTTAAAATAACAGATATCAAAGTTTCAGCTCCCTCTGGAGCTTTCATCAGGATAACAAACAAATACAATTAATTACAAGAACATTCTAAAGTGTAAAATAAATTAAAATCATATACTTACCCCCAACATGTATGTGGAGAAGGATGCCGACTGGACCGAGGTGGCCACGTTGGTGTGAGGCTCAAGCCTTACCAGTGGCGTCTCGAGCATTTATATTTAGGGGGGCCCAGGGACAAAAGTACCCCCTGCAATTACAAAACGTATGTGTATGCGTATATATATATATATATATATATATATATATACACATATATATATATATATACATACACACACACACACACACAAACGTGGAGAACATTTAAAAGTTAACAAAATTCTGAATTCCAGCACCTTGTTAACTATGCTAAAGTCTATCTGCTAAAGATATGCCATGGTAACAATATCTCATGATGCCAGAATGGTTACAAACTATTGTTTTTTTAAAAATATTTATTGTTTGCAAATGCTTCTGTAGCTTAGCCTCGGGGAGACTTGACTGCATGGAATTGGAGTCCAGCATGATACCTAGAAAAATAAGTCTGGTGGTGGGTTCAGTGGTTTTGTCTTGGGAAAGTGGACGCCTAAAGTTGAAAATAGTGCTGTTGTGCTTTTTAAGCTTAGAGGCATGCTATTACTATCTTCCACCATTAGAAAATCTTCCAGATAGTGTATAACCGTGGGACACCTAGCGATGTGAAGGAGAAGCCAGTCTCGGCAAACGTGTTAAAGATTTTTGGGTTACTTTTTGCACCGAAAATGAGTCTGGTAGAAAAATAATATTTCTCTTAACCCAGTGAACATGCCATAACGAGGGATGACTCGGTAGTAACTTGAAAGCATTGATGATATCGGTCTTGCTAAGCCTTCTACCAGCCTTCAATATTGTTTGTATAGCATTATCCACAGTGGTGTAGTGTAGAGAGAATTCAGAGGATGGTATGAGAGAGTTTAGGCTTGGGTTTGTAGATGAATGAGGAGCTGATAGGTCAATGATTAAACATTTTTTATTCGAGTATTTGCTGGTGGTGATCCCAATCGGATTTGTGTGCCAGGAAGAAAAGGGAGGGGAGGAAATGGGGGCCTAACATGAAACCCTTTTGAATCTCTTTCCCAATAAGATCATCAACTGTTAGCAGGTCATACACAGCAGGTCATACACAGCGTATACGAGGTTGGGGCAATCTAAAGTACCTACGGTGAAAACCTGTGAATTATGTATTCCACCAAGTGAGGAGAAGGGAGAGTTTTCAAGTAGTATGCCAAGTTGTCTATCTTCACCTCAGTTAGTCATTGATTGGGGTTCAATTTTGAAGGGCACATGGATTTAGTATGTGCCCTAAAACATATAGAACACACGTGCAGTAATCTTCAGGCACTGAAAATACACACTCCTGCATTAAAATTTTTACAGACTTGTGCCTTGCCCAGGAAAACAATGGGTCATCCGAGCTTATCTTTAAAGCCGTGCTGGTCATGCTTGCTAGACCCAACTGGTTGATTCGAATATGTTGAGGGGTTAGCTTCAGAGGGGCACAAATTAGTGGTATGGGAGGTGGATGAGCAGACCGCACAAGATGGGGGAAACAAGCCTGCAAAATGTCTTCAAAAGAGCTCTGTGTCCAACTCGCTAAAGTCAGTACGGATGTTAAACTGGGCCCGGGCTGCTGCTACTTTTACAGACACGGACTTGTGATAATCATAAAACAAAAAGCAATTTGTGCATGTAGAGGGCAAGTTCTTCACGGCGCTGTGGATAAACAGAGCATACAATGTCCCTATATAGATCGAAGGCTAGGGCAAACTCAGGGATGGTGAGTTTTTGTTTAGTCGTGGGTCTCTAGCCTTCATTACAACAGCTAAGTCACTGTAATTGTACATTCTGTTTTCCACAACATCCTGTGAAGTGATTAAGAGAGAGACTAGATTTATGTCTTTCCCATCTAGAATATCTTTGTGGAGATCTGGGGGAACCATGTGTGCTGGGGTAATTGCGTGGGTAGAGGAGGGAGTAAAAGGTGAAGCAGGAATCCTAACCTGCATGCTGGGAGGTGTGAATGCCTGTGTAGATCCTACGGGAGGTGGATCTATCTGAGCCGAGCTGGCATTTTCCTATTTTGTCAGTCTATCATTTATGGACTGCGGAGATGACAAAATGGTGTCTAAAGTTCCTTGTATACTTGAGTTGTGCCCTCGTGAGCTGGGACCAAACCCTGGATCCTCAGTATGAGCTGTGAGCAGCTTGAAGAGTTCAGCTTTAATTGCCGTGGCTGGGAAGGGGATGCCCTTATGTCGCAGTTCAGCCGAGATCCTGAGGATAGTCCAGGATCTCAGTGAAGGGTTCTTGTAACTCGGTGGGGATACCCTAAAAGGGGTAATAGGCCTAGCGGGTGTGCTGGGGTGGATGATTCTTTGCCTATGTTGGTCTCCTGGTCTCCCATACTGTAAAAAATACAAAAACAACAACAACAAGGTCTGATTAACATATCCCTGGTAAACTTTGTAGAACTGTCTTTCTAACTAGTGCCAAAGTGAAAACTATCTACCCCATGACAGGTGAGGCCCTGCTAGTTGCCATGTGGCAGGGTGGGGCGAAGGGTGAAATCTCTGTGTTGAGATTGGGGAGTTGGCCAACACCTGACCCTGAACAGACAGTTCTCTAATCCTGGACGGGGGCTCGATGAAGGGGAGAAATTAAAATAAATATGAAATGTACCTAGCCAACCACAAATTATGATTTCTTGTACCAAAAGAGTCCCTATGAGACCTAAAACATAAAATAAATAAAAGCCACCTAAGTACTGTATTGTGAGAGTTCCTTAATAATAGTGCTGACAGTTATTCTTTGTGACCGGGACCCAAGCATGCTAGGAAATATATAATTTGTAACCATGTTCCCAAAGGAGTTCCCGTGGTGATGCCAAGATGGGAAAGGAGGAAGTTGAACAAAAGGTAACTGTGACTAAACCCAAGACCAGCAGAACAGTGGACATAGAAAACGATTGTATATTATAAGGTAGTGAAAGTTAAGATAAGATTGTATGATGGATTGGTCGAGTAAAGCCGTGGCCAAACAAGGCAAAGCAGGAATCAAGCCCTGATTCTCTATTACCCCTTATGGATGAAGCATGGCCGTGTTGAGGCAGAAAGTAGAGAGATAAACTTTTTTTTTTTTTTTTTACCTTGAACAGTCAATACAGGCCTATAGGTTAGTATGACCCTAAGGATATCTTAAATTAAGGTATAGCATGGTCAACAATTGGTAGAATAGCCTTATAAGTTCCTGATGAAATGCATAGAAAAATGACATACATAAGCCATGAAAGTAACCCCCTCTTAAGTGTATTTATGACATAACAAACCGTAATTAACAAAAACTATGTAGTTCTAATGCATGTAAGTAGTTTGAACACCTTATCATTACTAAGAATAAAGTATAAAGTAGAATAATTACCCTGCTCCTGACATGAAGCCTATATAGATGATAACCCATAATGTTACTTAACCTAATTGTGTCTAATATCCAAGCTTGATTTGAAATATTTTGGGGAAACGCCTGAATGAACAGTTAGCCAGATTACACACGATTATTGTAAGTACAGAAATACTAAATTAACAATGTACCTTCCATACTGTCACATGTTCGTCACCTTGTGGTGTCCGTGAGGATAATTACTTTCCTGGCATTGGTGGAGATGCTGGTCGGCGACTGTTCCGGTGTATCTGGCTCCTGCATGCTGAAAGACGCCGGCCATTGCGGATCCATACCAATTTATAGCCCCATGTCCGTCCACGGTATTGACGACATCAACGTGCATGTGACGTCACACAAAGGAAGCGCACGCACGTTTTGGGGTCATAGGCCGGGTACGGCCAATTGGATTTAAAGGAGACTTATTTAAACTGTTGTGGTTTCCCTTAGTAGTTGTCCGAGCGTGTGTTCCTAAGCGTTTATTTCTGGTTATTGACTTTGGCTTTGTTTGACTTCCCTGTATTCTTGCATCCTTGACTTTTGGCTTTCCCTCATCGTTGTGTCTATTTCCGTAACCCCTACCTCGGCAAGTATTCTGACTATTCTCTGGTACGTTAAGTCCGGCCATTCCAAGGCCTGGTAAGATGTTACTTTTGTCCTAGGTGTGATACAGTTCTGTGTGCTGGATCAACTAGTAATCCTGACATTACGACATGGCCATAGATCCTGCAGAACTGTGTCAACACATAGCAGCTTGCGAGAGAAAGCTAGAGGAGAATGATCACCGTATGGATCAATTTGCCCAGGCTTTCAGTACGCTTCTGTAGCGGAGTAGTAGTATTATCCACGGTATCTCCGCTGGTAGACAGAATCAAGCAGGCACAAAGCAGGTAAAATCCAGGTAGCGTAGTTACAATCCCTTCCTCCAAAGAACTAGACAACACATAGCTTGGAGGTCAACTGAGGTTTATTTTCAGGTCACGGTATTTATGGGATTCCCCATGCAAGGGGTTTCCCTACTGACATTTCAGGGGTTGTACAGTAGGGGACTACATGGGGAACTGACCAACACACACAATTTTCCCATCATACACTGCTGGACGAGAGGGATATTCCTGTACATCTGCCATGATCCTGTCGAAAGTCTCCTGTGGTGGGGTGGTTGGGTACAGAGCTATCCTGCTCTTGAATTCTATTTCAAATTCCGTTTGCTCTTTCCTTATTGCAGGTGCTGCAGCAGCTGCGGCTCTGTCCCCTTCCATCAGCTCCTCAATTAGAACAGCCTTTGCCTTGTTGCTGGCTATTGTTCCTCTCGCTTCTAGTAACTC